TGCTTTTGAGTTATGGTGTTGGAGGAGAATATTGAAAGTGCCATGGGCTACCAAAAAAACCAATAGATCCATTTTGGAAGAAGTGCAGCCAGAGTGTTCCTTGGAGGCCAAAATGGCCAAACTTCATCTCTCATAATTCACACATATTGTCAGGAGGGACCAGTCTCTGGAGAAGGATATCATACTTGGTAAGGTGGAGGGTCAGAGAAAAAGAGGAAAACCTCCAACGAGATGGACTGGCCAAGTGACAGCATTGATGGATTCAAGAATGGCAACAGTAGTGAGGATGGCCCAAGATCGGGCAGTGTTTCATTCTGCTGTGCGTAAAGTAGCTATGAATCGGTGCCAACTTGATGGTACCTAACAACAACAACACACAGAGTGAGTCTTGGATTTGCCTTGGCTTCCTGAGAACGACTAGGTTTTTAATACTGAGTTAGTCTAAAAGCCAAACTATTTAAGAACTATATACACACATTACAGTGTATCAAGTACTTTTTAAATTAATACTGTACTTTTTCTTCTCCTTTTTTGAGTTGGCGAATTAAGTGACATGAATTGTTGGTTTTGTTTTTAATAAAGAAAAAGGAAGTAAAAAGAAAAGAAAAAAAAAAAAAGTCAGTGATACTGAAGGGAGAAATCCAAGCTCGACTGAAGGTCCTAGAGAAAAACAAAGTCTCAGAGATTGATGGAATACAAATTGAAATCTTTAAATAAACTGATACAGCACTGGAGATGCTCACTCATTTATGCCAAGAAATTTGGAAGGTAATTATGGAAGGCAGATATGGATGAGATCCATATTTGTGCCCATTCCAAAGAGAGGACACTCAATCGAATGTGGAAATCAACCAACAATAACATTAATATCGCATGCAAGCAAAATTTTTCTGTAGATAATCTGAAATGATTCCAACAGTACATCGATAGAGAACTGACAATAATTCAAATTGGATTCAGAAGAGGTCATGAAACTGAGGATATTGCTGATGTCAGATGGACCTTGGCTGAAAGCAGAGAATACCAGAAAGATGTTTATTTGTGTTTTATCAACTGGGCAAAGACTTTCAACTGTATGGATCATGACAAGCTATGGATAGCATTGTGAAGAATGGGTATTCCAGAACACTTAATTGTGCTCATGAGAAACCTATACATAGATCAAGAGACAGTCATTTGAATAGAACAAGGGCCCTGGTTAGGATTTCCGAGACTATAAATCTTTAATGGAAGCAGAAGACCTTTTCTTTCTCCCTCAGAGCAGCTAGTGGGTTTGAACAGCTGACTTCGCAGTTAACAGTCCAGTACTTGTCTTACAGTACCACCAGGTGTCCCAAAATACATATTTCAGAGATGAATCTTTAAAATCAGATGGATTTTTAAAAACCATCTCTGCCATTTGCTCATCACAGGATGATCAGCACAGAGACTCTCTGAGTCTCTATTTCCTTGACTATAAACTGATGGTTATGATGAAAGGCAGCTAGCATCTAATACAGAAGACACAGAGGGAGCTAGGATCTAAGGTAGAAGGCAGCCAGCCCAGAAGCTATGATGGAGGACATCCCAGGATCTAAGATGGAGAACAGTGTAGAATCTAAAACAGA